CCGCTAACCTTGGAAGCCATTTCATCGATGACTGTGGGTCTTGGGGTGGGACCCACTCACCCATAACTTACAAAGCTAAGCTAGAATCTAAGTAGATATCTGTTGTAAAAAAAAGATGGACTGTTTTGCGTGTACAGACAAGTTAATAAGAAAAGGCACACAGTTCCCCTGAAACCACAACCTACACAGATATTATACCTGTTCCAAACGCAATCCTGCACACAAAAGAAGCAGGTAACTTGGATTGAAAATATGCACCCATCCATTGCCCTTGAGGAATATATTGGGACATATCCAGGCCCCAATATATTCCATGGCAATGCTGAACTCTAAGTTAACCCATATTGCCGTGCTTAAGACTTTGTTATGGACTTTATAACTGCTGAACATGACTCCAAATCTCATGAACTATACAAAAGGTTGGTCAGTGAAGTGGATTCAGAAAACTGTGTAGTGTGCATGTCAGGTGGGGTTTCCGGTTGTTCAGTAAAGATGGGTTACAGTAAAACAAGTGTCTGTGTCATTCTATTTCATTCTGCAGATATACTTGACAATCGATCTTGGTCAGTACTATACAAAAACCAAAGACCCACTAATTTGAAACCCGCTCCATGAAAACCCATTCATTTGCAGCATCAACCAGATACAGAGCAAGTACCCTTGTGTAATGTTGTACAACGATGAACAGATCTCAAACAGAACACAATTCTGCTGCGCTGCACCCAACTACATCACTATGGTTTTAGGTGTCAATAAAACGTTCAACCTGGTAAGAATCAAAACCCAAGATCATCCCATATTTTTAGGCCCCATTCTCATTCACGGACAATCTGATTGGAAGACATTTGGGAACTTTTTCACTTCTATTGCTATGGAGATGCCTATAAAAAATCCAAATTTAGTCATCATAAGTGATGAAGAAAAAGCCATCAAGAAAGTTGCAAACTTTGGTTTTGGAAGTAATACAGATCACATTTCTTGTCATCGACACATCAAAAACAATGCAATAAATTTTTGAAAGATAAAACTGGGGCTAATGAAAAAGAGACAAAAAAGCTTCAGCTATATTTGGCCAAAATGGATTAATATATTCAGACAATCAAATAGTTTTTAAGGAAAGGAGCTAAACAGTATTAAGAAATATTGAAAATGTACCCCAATTTGAAAAAAAAACATCATTTAGATAGTATCCTTCCACTGTTACAGGAAAACTTCCAAACTAGAGAAAAACACCTAGACCTACCTATTTCATGGACAAATAATAACTGTGAGTCAGTTACCCACATAATGAAGATGAAGGTAAATTGGCAACCCCAAGATACTCTAACACTGGTACATTCTCTTTACGAAATTGTCAAGGGAAAACATTTGGACATGGAGAGAGCCTTCATGGGAAGGGGGGAATTTCGATTGGATACAAATTTTAGTAGATTTATTGTGTTATTGGTGTTGCATAATGTAATGTTTTAGCTGAAGCACTATGTTATCAGGTTGCGACATATTCAGGAAATGTAGACGTTATGAGATGTAGACGTCAGAAACGCAGAGCAGAAAAATAAAGGCAAAACATGCAACGATAGTACTCTGGAATTATGCGTTGTTTTCTTTTCAAAAACCTAACATTACAATTTACAACACAACAACTGGTGATGAGGATAAAAGAACTATTGTGAACAGATGTAAACAACATGGCAGCAATCCAGTTACAACCTCTGCCATACGAACCATTTGATTGCCGCTCAGAGGGAAAGTGTATTAGATGGGCGATATGGTTACGGAGATTGGAATCCAATGTATTCAACAGGTGCGGCATAGTTAACCCTGTGTAGAAGAAGGGCCTGCTTTTAATGTATGGTGGGTTGGAATGATCTGAATGACATCGTGGACAGCTTTGACCAAACCCTACTTGAACCTATAGAGGCTATGCCAGAAACTGAAGATAGACAAGCAGTACCGGGACAAAACGTATACGCATGCCTCACTGTGGCTATCACCGCACACTTTAATCCGCATGCTTACGTTGAATTCCAGCGATACTTATTTAAAAGGACACTACAGGATACACCTAACATTGACGATTTTTACTATACGCTCAAGCAGCTAGTGGAAACCTGTCAATATGCGCAGCCAAATGCAGAGATAAAATCTCAGATCATAATGGGATGTAGACTAGATAAGGTACATGACAAAGGATTGAGAGATCCAGATGTAACCTTAGATCAACTTCTACAATACGCACGGAACCTAGAAGTCACATATGCACATTCCCAAATGATTAAAAGCCAAACAGTCAACACTGTTCATAAAGCTAAGCAACAATTAACGACCAAACGTCACCCTGCCAAGCACCAAACTAAGAAACACACTTTCAATCAACCAGAGCCAGCAACCTGTAACAAAAACTGCAAGAACAAGTGTCGTAATTGTGGAGGTCAGTGGCCACATCAGGGTGGACACACTTGCCATAGCTGCGGTAAGCAGAATCACTTCACAGCAGTTTGTTTATCAAAACCACGAGTAAACAACATTGAAATTGAGGATGACGTCGAGTACACCTACAAACTAAACATGAAGAGCCAAGTCTCCTCGCCATATTTTAAGGTCAAAGTTGATGACAGTTACATTACCATAATGGCAGATTCGGGTGCAAGTGTCAACATTCTCTCTGAGAAAGATTACCTCTCCATGAAACACCCGCCCTAGCTCTAGTATTCTTCAGCAAGTTATGATAGATATGATGACATTCTCTCAAGTGTTTGCAGTATTATTATATTTTAATTAACTACTAGTATATCTCTTTACTTATTGCCAAAGACTGAATGAATAACTTTCATACAATGCTATACATTCATAACAGACTAAAAAAAAAAACCTTTGCTCAATTTTATAAACGTTATAGACTAGACCTACATACTGTAGTTGCATGCCTCTTTATTCAAGGTGGGGAGGAATTTAATGTTTTAGCTGAAGTGCTAAGGTTTAGAATATCAGGTCACAACGTAATCGCGAGATTTAGACGTCACGAGATGTAGATGTCAGAAACGCAGCGCAGAAAAATAAAGGTTAAACGTGTATTGACAGTACTCTGGAAATTTGCGTACAACAAAACACATGTATGCTGAAAAAAGTGAAAAAATGCATAACTTCCCATTTTATGCATATTCATCAGTTCTGAAAGTTTCAAGCCTGAAGGTAAAACAGTTTTCCACTTAGCCTGTTATCGTGAAAGTGCATGGCGACGGCAATGGCGATGTTGACAACACATGCAGGTGACGGCTATATGTACAGACACATCTGTGTCTGTCTGTACATAAAAAGGACAGAAAAAGAAAACTTGAGCCATCTTACCCATCTTCATAATACAAAAATTAAAAATATTGAAATGTTTATTACATATGACATTAAAACAATGAACATGAAAGTTAACTCGTATTTCAATTATATTAAAAAATATAAATCCCAAAATGGAATTAAAAATGGTTAAAAACTTTAAGAAAACTCACATGTTAAAAACATTAATAATAAAACCAGCATAAAAGAGCCTTCAATTTCAGCCCTTAAAACCTTTTGTTTTTTGACAATTTAACTGGAGAGGCCCAGGGAATCAGACATTGGGCAGCTTATAATGATACATTTTCACACTTTCTTATGCCTAATGAAAGAAATGACCTCATTGTACACTTATAAAATATTAATATTATTTCATTTGTTTCTAAAATAGCCACGTCACTGATAAAACTTATTTAGCAACTACATTCATCCGTATATTGTTTCCGTCACTGGAGGTTCTCGAGATTTTCTGAAATAAACCCAAGGAATACATCAGCAAAATAACTAGAAACAAGGCAGCAAAGCTGGCAAATGTACAGACAAAAAACAGAAAATAAAGATGCAAAAAAGGTCATTTTGTCAATTTTGATGCAATAANTCATCTTTATTTTAGTAAATCTGATCACCCCTGTGAATTTCAAGACAATTGGCCAATTGATTTTCCTTGAAATGTGTTATCAGTGTTGCACATATGCTGAAATAGTGAAAAAACAGCATAACTTCCAAAAAATGCCCCGATCAGGCTGATTTTCGAACTTGACCTGCGTATTGAGAATATTCATCAGTTCTGTAAGTTTCAAGCCAAAAGGTAAAACGATTTTTCACTTATCATGTTATCGTTGTTGCATTTATGCTGAAAAAAATGAAAAAATAGCATAACTTCCACAAATATGGCCCAATCATGCTGATTTTCGAACTTGACCTGCGTATTATGAATATTCATCGGTTCTGTAAGTTTCAAGCCAAAAGGTAAAACGGTTTTTCACTTATCGTGTTATAGGTGTTGCATTTATGCTGAAAAAATGAAAAAAATAGCATAACTTCCACAAATATGGCCCGATCATGCTGATTTTCAAACTTGACCTGCGTATAATGAATATTCATCAGTTTTGAAAGTTTCAAGCTGAAATGAAAAACAGTTTTCCACTTATTGTGTTATCGGTAAAAGTGCACGGCGACGGCGACGACGGCAACAACGACGACAGACGCAGATGACGGCTATATGTACAGACACATCTGTGTCTGTACATAAAAAGGTTAATTCTATCAAGCCAGGAGCATAGTGGAAGAGTACAGAGAGTAGAAAAATTGGATTGAGGAAGGTATGTATAATAGTTATGCATTGGATCATTTATCAACTGAAAATGAGAAAATTGATCTAATTCTGTAGTGTACATTGTAAACATCATATCTATATAACTTTTAATAAGTAATAAATTATAATGTATACTTCCCTTTTAGCCAACAAAGAAACAAGGATACAGAATGCAGTTAAATGAAGTTGAATCTAAAAAAAAACATTTACATTTCATTTAATTTTTGGTTTGTGGTTTATTAAATATTATCTATAAAATTTAATCTGTCCTTACTGTGTTACTTGAACAAATGGATATTTGTTGAAAAATTGTTTATTTCAGGTGATCCTAAAGAGTAGACAACATACAGAACCTGGCATGACAAGACTGGAAGGGACAGACTTTGCTGTGAATATCTTTAGTTGGTGGCTCATCGAAACTCACAAAGTGTACCAAAAAGTCAAGTACCTTTGTGATAAAGAAGTTACTAGAGAGTTTTTTCAGCCCACAAGAAATGTCACCAACAGTTTCTTTTGTGAAGGATTCTCTAGCTGAAAGAGATGTGCAGAGTAAGTTTTAAAATAGAACATCACCAACAGCAAGTTGATTATATCATTCAACAATTCTTTAAATTTTGTAATTATTCTCAAGTATATGTTGAAAATAAGTGAATGCAGCCATAAACCCAACATCACATAGATGTGTAAGGAATGTATATAAAGTATTCTTCAAAGCAGTTTTAGCACTTTGTTTTTTTTTTTTTAATCCAAGACATTTTTTCTGCCTAACTTTCTACCTTTTCTAATATGAACAATAAACACTTGAACTTGATTTTAGGACTTATCAAACAGTAATGTGTATTTTGAAATGTTTTTTGTCCTCCACATGGATGTTTAGCTTTGTGCAGTGTGGTGAATTTATTGGACTTTATGGTGTACTCTTTTTTTAGATGGACAGAGCAGGACAGGATGAGTAAACAAGAGAAATGTGTCAGAAAGATGTAAAGACGAGAAATATGGACATGGCTTGGATTTTGCTGATTTTGTTTGACTTTTTAATTTGATTAATAAAGCACAATATATGACTGTAATTTCTTGTTTGTTGTTGATTAACAGATTTAACAATATTTCTGTTCAGTGACAGTACAGTTTCCAAAGGATAATTTCAACTTTTCTAACGTGCTTAATAAAATTTTAAGATGTTGGCACATGTCTTCAAATGTAACTCAAAACCTGTCTTTGTAGAATTAATATCAACAGATTGAAAAACATGCGAGTAGAATTTAAATTGTGTTATAAAATAATTAAATTAGTGTGAAGGAAACATGCAAAAAGGTATGCAAAAAGTGCGCAGGAAGTATGCAAAAAGTATGCAGGAGGTGTGCAAGAAGTATGCAGGAAGTGTGCAAGAAGTACGCAGGATGTGTGCAAAAAGTACACAGAAGGTGTGCAAGATGTGCACAGAAGGTGTGCAAGAAGTGTGCTGGTTGTGGTGTTGGGGGGTGTACAGGAAATGTGCAGGAGATGTGCAAAGAGTATGCGGGAGGTGTGTATTTTACCATGCAAATGAGGAGTGCTGCGCATGCGCAGAAACCCTTACTGTGAATGTGCTGCGCATATGAAGAAACAGTGTGCGGGAAGCTTAAAATTTTGCTAAGGGAAACTCTTAGCCTAAAAAGTAATCTTTAAAATGATTCAAATATAAAAAAACACCAAACGTGAAATAATATATTAAAACATAATTAATACATGCATTAGATTCAAAGACAATCAACGAGTCCAAGAATTTGGTGCAGAAAAAAGGGTGAATTGTGCATTTTTTACCTACAAGCATGAAATTTGGCACAGTGGTAGAGAATGAAATTCTAAGCAATTTTGGATATATGGGCATGTCTGGAAATTCCAATATGGCCGCCAATTCCAATATGGCCACCACAAATACTCTTTTCAATGAAAACCTCTAATATATAGTCCTATAATGGTTTAAAATATCATTTTATAGCTGGAAAATTTCATGCTATGAATGAATTATCAATATCCGCTTCTACAGGTGTATAGAATTCCAAAATGGCCTCCAAAAGAAAAATAAGCAGTCTACTTACTCAAAATATGCAGTAGTTTTGTGAAATCATTAAGCACTTACAATTACAAGCATAAAAATTGGCACAGTTGTGGAGAACATGATTCTAAGCAACATTGGATATAGGGGCATATCTGAAAATTCCAATATGGCAGTCAATTTCAATATGGCCCCCAAAATACCCTTTCAAGGTAAAAGTTATTTGTATAGACTTTGATGAAAATATCATCTAATGGTTAGAAAATACCATAGTATGTATGTAGCATCAGTATCTGCCATTTTAGGTTTTAAAATTCCAAAATGGCCTCCAAAAGTCAGTGGGCCACAAGTATTGAATTGTAATCACTCGTGAAAAGGCACGTGGGCTTTGCAACTGTTACTACCTGTATAATCAGCATATTCCTACTTGTGCAGGAGCTATTCTACAGAGTTTGTAAAAAAGCATCAAGCATGATACATTTATTATGTACTGAAAACAGTCCTTCTTTTGCTAAACCAAAATAAGTAGTTTGGCTTTTTGCTCTGGATTCTCATTTAGATCAATTCCCAGTTAGTGATCTACTTATATGGCAGTCATGGGCAACTCCACCTGTCTAAGAAAAAAGTATCGTGCAAAATCCATAAAATGTGAAAGAAACACAAAAATAACTAAATATAAAAAGCTTGGGGTGTACCAATTTTGTCTGTTGGTTATGATTCTTCAGCTAGCTCAGTGCATGGCGCTTCATCAAATGCTCACAAATATAACAAAAATGACAGCTAATCAAACATACAGGTCTCAACAATTTGGTGTAGTGCATTGGTAAAGTACTGAAAGCAGGGGTACATTTGCACTCGGTAATCTTATGATGTTATCTTGTGCTTCAAAAGTAAATTAAAAAAGCTTCTAATTTCAAGAAATGGATTTAGTACATTTGCAGTAATGGCTACCGAGAATTTTGTGAAAATTTATGAGCAAAGAAATACCCCAAACAGAGGGCAGGTGTTGATACGTGCTGTATCCAAGAGTTGCATTGCAGGGTTCAAACTTAATACACTAAAAAAAAGGAGTACTGGTAGGCACCAAACTTTGGTTTTCATTTGATCATTTGGCAACTTGTTTAGTTACAAACTTATACTTTCAAATAACTGAACGTGATAATTAAAGAATTAAAATGCTTCAGAAAGTTAATACATATAAAGCTTCAAAATTCAGGGTGTATTTTGAGAATTATACCAAGAAATTAGTGCAATATGGACTTTGAAAGGTAAAAATTCATCGAGATTTCAGGCATCACTGACTCTGTGGGACAATCCAGAATGAAGCCATGGGGAGTATTCACTTACCCAGATAACAAAACTTACCTTTCGCAGGTAGCTCTTACCACATTTGTTTGTAGTTATGTGTGCAATTGCTAACTGTGGTGAGGGGAGTCAGAAGCACTGGAAGACTGGTCCTATATGGGTTCACACTAGTAGCCTACATGTACTTATATGCCCTACCACACTTTCATATTCCTATGGCCCCTCATGCATGTAAACAGATGCTTTCTGGTGTTAAAAATGACCAATGCCTCTTGGTATTTTATTGGGGAAAGTGGATTACATGTAGAAGCTATAGCTTTAGGCAAATTCTGGGAAAGCTGAGGGAAACAACTAAAGCTAGGCACACATTAATGAATGGAAATTATTTAACCAAATAAGTAGAAATTTCGGTGTAGCTAGCTGTTATCCTCTGTTGAGATATTGTCCATTTACTAAAGTAATAGGTTGATCGCCCATAAAATGTGCAACACCTACTTGAAAACTTATTTGTGAAAATACCTTGACATTTTCATATCCTTGGCATTTACATAATTGCTGCATGTGGTGTCACAACTGGACCAAAAGGAGTCCTGTTCCACTTTTTATGGTCATTTGGATCTTAATGTAACTAAAGGAGCGGTTTTTGATAATTCATCTAAACTGAGCTCTGTTTTCAAACAAAAAAATATTAAAGATTGTTATAAGTCAGATTATGAAGTAGAATTTTTACTTTCAAAGGGTTTAAGTAGCCATATTAGAATTTTCAGACATGTCCCTATATAAAAAAAATTGCTTAGAATCCTGTTCTCTACAATTGTGCCAATTTTCATGCTTGTAGTTTGAAATGCATGATGAATTCACCATACTGCTGCTGTGAGTGGTCTGTTTTCTAATTTTTGGAGGCCATTTAGGATTTCTATACACCTTAAGAAGCAAATATCATAGTTTTGTTTAACCATAAAATGTTATCTTAAGCTATTATAGGATTATATACTTGAAGTTCTAATTTGAACGGGTATGTGTGGCGGCCATATTGGATTTGGGGGCCATATATTGGAATTTTTAGACATGCCCATATATTCAAAAGTGCTTGGAATCCTGTTTTACAACTGTGCCAAATGCCATGCTTGTAGTTTTTGATGAGTTCACCACTATGCTGGATATCTTGGATTAGTAGAGTGCTTTTTACTATTGGCGGCCATTTTGTGTTTAATGCACCTAAAGAAGCAGATATGGATGCTGAAATCATACTGTGGTGTTTTTTAACCTTTATATGATATTTAAGCCCTTTAAAGACTATATACATGAAGATTTAATTAGAAGCTGTATTTTTGGAGGCCATCTTGGATTTGGTGGCCATTTTAAAATTTTTGGACATGCCCATACATCCAAACTTGCTCAGAATTTCATTTTCCACAAATGTGCCAAACTTTTTCCATGTAGTTTTAAGTGCATGATTAATTCACCATTCTAATGGATATCTTGAATAAATGGTCTGCTTTTTTACTTTTGGCGGCCATTTTGGATTTTATACACCTGAAGGATTTATACCATGGTGTTTTCTTACCTTTATATGATATTTTAAGTTATTAGAAGACTATGTACTTGGAAGTTTTAATTTGAAAAGGTATTTTGGTGGCCATCTTGGATTTGATGGCCATTTTGGAATTTTCAGACATGCCCATATATCCAAATTTGCTTAGAATTTCATTGTCCATAAGTGTGCCAAATTTCATGCTTGTAGGTAAAAAATGCACAATTTTTCACCAAATTCCTGGACCAATGATTCACTCAAGACAATATGCTGGGGGGGAGCTTACTTACATCTGCTCCTGCTTCTGTATGTGTCATCTCAACATTGAGCATTTTGGAGGCAGCTTCATCTCCTGATACAGGAACACCTGTCTGTACTTCACCAGGACCTGGCCTTGGTTGGTTAGTGCTGTTTTCATAGTGTGCTTGTAAGTCACTCAAACCTTTCTTCAAACGGTCTGCTAGCATCCTCTTGTTATTCTGCAAAAGATCACTGTACAAATCCACCATGACATCTGGACAGCCTGCAATTTTGTCGTCTTTTGGATTCCAAAATCGCTGAATCTCTTTATCTAGGGTTTTCTGTTGAATTTTGTCACATCCTTCACTAAACCAATACTGTAGTTCTCCTCTTGTTTTCTTGCAAGCTGCTTTGGCTTTTGCATGTTCTGAGTTGTTTACCGATTGATTTACAGAATTATTTTCAGGACTCTTTGCCTCCTCAACATCAACATCTCTCAGCCTCTGCTTGTTTTTCTGGCACCAATGTGCAAGGATGTCAATCAGCCAGCGGAAGCTAAATATATGAATGCTTTTAGGCTTTAGGGTTTCTATAGCCTTCTTGAAACTTTCAACAGCACTCTTCTCTTGGTCAAAATCTCTTAAACACCGACCTCTTCTCTGGTGAATACTTGGATCCTTTTCTCCATCTAAACTTTCCACAGCATGCTCAAAGTTAATAACCGCTTCTAACATCTGGTCCTTATTGATGACTTCTCTCCTTTCATTAATACCAAGAAAATGACTTATTTCAGCTAGACTGGCATAGAGTTGTGGTGTTGGGTTCCTTTTGACAGCCTCTTTGTAATACCATTGAGCAGTCGCCGCCATTGTTTTCTCTGGGAGCTCTCCCTTGCCCATATTCACTTTGTTATACCACTGCCTTACATACCGGTATTTGAACATATCACCCATAAGATGGTATGCAAACCAATTACTATCTCCACTATCCAATTTCATGGACTTCAAGAGAAGGGTCTTGGCTTTCTTAAAATCTGCAAATTCTTCATCATTCCTTTGGCTCAAAAATTTAGCATGCCTGTTAAGAATGTCTGGTCTTTTAGGGGAAATGTTTTTTGCCAAAAGGAAGCAAATTTCAGGATTTTTGTAGTATTCCTCTAAGTGGTTTTGCTTCATGATATCACTTACATCATATTGCAGTTTCCCTTGTAGCTCAAAATCTATGTATGCACAGAACTTGTTGAAGCCATCTTGAGATGCCTGCTGTGGATGAGAATGATGATGAATTGTTTTTTCAGCTAAATCATGTATACTGGTATTAGATTCTGTGTATTTCTTGCTTCTTGACTTGTTTTCAATGAAAACATTGCCCAAAACACAACCCAAGAGAAGCCAGCCTTGTGCTTTGTAATGGTTGTCTTTGCTTTTGGTCACCTTATGAAAAAGTTTAATGATTATTTCCAAGGCACTGTTTTTGTCCAAGTTTTTGTGTAATTTTTGTAAAACTAGTTGATTATGGTAAATTTGAGATAAATTGTGTGCAATAAAAAAACACCATTCAGTTCTTTCCACTTCATCTATTAAATCTCCTGCCTCTTGCCACGCCTGCATGTATGACTCGTGAGCTCGTGCACAAACTTTGCCGCGTTGTTCCTGTTTTGTTGTTACATGTACATCAAATGCAATCATGTAACCCTGCTCAAATAAACACCTCCCCCGTCGTTTTCTCTCTTCATCACTGGGTTCATCTCCACCCATCAACTCGTTTAACTTCTCCAGATAAAGTTCAGCTTTTGCGACATAGGAACGTTCCCTGTAAACATACTCCAGGTTGGCTAAGGCATTCAAGTTTGCACTATCTTCTTCAAGAATGCTTTCAAAACTTCTAATACTTCCATTTGTTTTCCCATCTTGGTAATCAAGCACCCCCAGAAGGTTGAGCATAGCAAATTTATGAGGTCCTGTTTGTAGGGTTAACATATACTTCTGAATGGCTTTTTTGTATCTCATATGCTGTTTATTGGTCAGTGGACTAACCCTCAGACAAAGGTTCTCAAAACCTAAAACAAACAAACAAAAACATGCTGGTATATATTTGATATATCAGACTCAGCCTGGGGTTTAGATTCATTCAAGATGACAGCATGGGGACAACACAGTAACAGGAAGCGGAAGGCAAAACTGCTATTAAAGAGAAGACAACCACGGGATATGTCTTTACAGTGCACCTGCTGCTGTAAACTAGTGGCGCGACTTTGATTTTTTAGACTAATTACCTGCCCTGAGAGCTTTTTCTGGGAGCTTTTTCTGTTCAACAGGCATCGCTGAGGCCATATCTGGTATCTGGGGATTTTTTTTAGGCTTTAGTGATTAGAGATCACAGCATGCCATAAAAGGGTAATCATGTCGTAAGCTTGGACTCAGTGTGCAGAAAACCTTTTGCACTAAAAACTCTACAAATAATGAAATGCCATTCATTTATATAACTGTTCTGATTTTTAAAGGTATTTTTAATATGTAAACCTTTCTACGCGAGCTGCGGGAACTTCCGGTTGGGATTTCCCCGACGGCAAAGATAGAATGAATACGGTGATGATATATGGAAACTTCATTTTAAAAATTTACCTTTCAGGTGGGATGCACACATTTTTGCAGACGGTAACTCTGTTTCCTTTAACATCAACTTGGTGTTGTTACTTGAATAGTAATTTCATAAGGAAGTCTAAATCGGTGTAAGACATTTCTCTCCACCGTGCTTACCACACACTACGGAAGTGTTGGGCACTGTTGTACTCAGTACAGTAGTATTCCCCCACTACCATATAACTCTGTGGCATTCGATGTCTTTTCTAAATTAATTTACGTGGTGATTAGGAGCAATGTCTCTGCTACTCTAATATCATCATGCTGTCTACGGTGTTTCTGCTTTGGAACAGCTGATGATTGAGCCTCTTGTTTATCTCGTTTGTTTTTACTCCTGTCTGTGTCACCCTAAAAATTTTTAATGGAAAGGAGTAAAAGAGAAGAGCGTAACAAATTGTGAAATGCGTACTGGCATACCATGGGCCCGGGGGCCCAACTGCTCCATGATAAGTTCTGAAAGAGAAATATATACACGGCGAGATGTCTGTGGTACATACTCTACATAATTATAAAGGTGGGAAATTTTAAAAAGCAAATTTCTGTATAAATTGTTGTAAGACATTATTCTCCACCGTGCTAACCACACAACACGGAGGGGAAGTTTTGGGCACTTTGTAGTATATTCCCCCACTACCATATAACTCTGTGGCATTCAATGCCTTTTCTAAATTAATTTACATGGTGATTTTGAGCAATTTCTCTGCTACTCAAAATAAAAGGTTTGGCAATGATTTACTAATTTTAATATTTTTCTTACAGGAAACTTTACCCCTTTCAAAAATCATGAAAGCCAAGGTTATCACTGGGGGTGAACACATGCTGTAATCTCATTGGACAAAGAACTTGAAGGTTTATATATAAAAAATGAAACAATAAATGAGTCAATTTCCAAACTAATGTATTTGGATAGCTGAGACTTTGCTCAAAATCACCACATAACTGATTTTTGATTAGCCTTAAAAATTAGAGGGTTTCAGGTTGGGGCAGGGGGGGGGGGGGGGGGCCTGCTGCATAAGTACCAAGTTTTGAGTATGGTAAGATATCAAACTATGATGATCAATCAACACAGTGGCTAATTTAAGTCAAAGCATTTTTACATTACAAATAATAATATAATGGTAATAATAACAATAGCTGTAATGGTTCAATTTCCAGTTTTGATCCTTGAGCATCCTCAGATGGTCCTATGATGATAAGTTTGATACATAATTGGTAGTCTTTGCTGCATTGTTTCAAGACCCTGTAGCACGCCAGTGTTCTAGTCATGAATGACAATACAATCCAGACACAAGAGCTCACCCTCATTCCAGGTAATGTAATATCCTATTTAGTTTTTCTCCATGGTTACTTTAGAAGATAGACTTTCCAGGTGAACGGTTTCTTGGTTCCATCCAGGTAGACTGATGGTGTCTGTGGGAATGGGAGGTTTCAGATCAAAAACAAAACCATGCCTGTGGGAATCCAGTGACTTATTTTGACAACACATTTCAGTGATAAATTATAGATTTGATGTGATTTTTTTGTTCTAGGATTTGAAAGCCTGGGTCTGCGTGTCAATCCACAAACAAACAAATTACAAATAAAATACAAGAAGGCAGTCCAGTTTGACATCTATAAGCACCAGTCTGGACCTCACAGGAGTGCCCTCCTCAACCTCAGGGCCATTTTCGAGTATCAAGATGGCGACATCTACAGGAGCATTGAACTGTTTGAAAAATCCTGCAAACTCGACCCGACCAACCTCAATGCTCTAGCAAGCTTGGAGTATGTTTATCGAGAAGTGGGTGTCTCTAAGAAGGCAGCAGAATATAGAAAAAAACTAGAACAGTGGCTGGGAAACCCAACCTGCCGAGCCAGGTGTTTCTTTGAACAGGGCTACATGATAGCATTTGATGTTTTTGTTGAAGCTCAGGGTGTGACTGGGATACAGGCCCATGCTTACTACTTGAAGGCATTGGAGATGGTGCACAGAAAAGAAGTGGTCATAGATCGCAGAGAATTATTAGAATGGTGCTTTTATGTGGCACATAATTTAATCCACATTATTAAGACAGAGGCAGTTATGCACAGTAAGTCTGAGAAAAATAAGTTACACTGCCTTGCCCTAAAACTGTTCCATGCGGTCACGTTCACAAAGGATGATAATTACAAAGCACAAGCCTGGGCAAGTATTGCACATCTGCTGAGTAGTAGGTGCATTAGAACTGTATCTTCAAGCCAGGAGGTGCAAAATCATAATTCAAAGGGGAAGAAAAATCCCCAGAAGACTGAGCTTTCTCCAAGCAATGTATCACAACAGCAATGTAAGTCTGTGAAGAGCCAGTTTAGCAAAGACCCAAATGCAACTGCAACAAAGTCAAATGTGAAGTCCAAGCCACTGAACCAGCAAAATAGTAAAGATAACATACAGATGAAATTCCTGGAGGAATTTTGTGAACAAGTTTACAGTAATGTCCTCGGTTTATCAGCTCAAGAACATCTGCCTGAAGAGAATGGAGCTGCTTCAGGACAGTCCTCAGAGCAAGCCACAGACACAGACAGGAGTAAAAACAAACGCGATAAACAAGAGGCTCAATCATCAGCTGTTCCAAAGCAAAAATACCATAGACAGCATGGTCATATTAAGGTCCCCCCTGGCTTAAAAGAACTGGGGTTGGTTAAAACTCCTTACTTTGAGAACAAGGATGAGTTCTGCAGATGTGTCTCTGGATTCTTTGAGAAAGCTAGAAGTTATGCCCCGTCCTACACAAATATCCTCAACAGATATGCTCATTTTTTATGGCATATTGGCAAAGAAGATGAAGCCATGGAAATACACGAGGAGTCGATTGAAATTGATAAGTGTGAAAGCAATTGGTTTGCCTTTAAATCCATGGGGGAAAATCTGAGAAAGAAATATAAGGATGAATGGTATGATAGAGTGCACCAAAAAAGTGATGAAAACCCAAGGATTGAATTAGCACTTAAAGCAAAAGAGAAACTTGAAATTGCTGTCCAGCACAATCCTAATCCCCAGGACTATGCTTGCTTGGCAGAGACCTGTCATTTTTTGGGCATTGACACAAATAGACGAGTGACAGATGAAAAATTGCTTCTGAAGGCAGTTTACTATTTCAAGTATGCCTTAGATAATTTACAAGGAGGAAGAATCCCAATGTTGCATCATTTGCTAGGGCTGTGCTTGCTTGATCTGGGGGAAAAAAGAAATGCTCTGGAATCCTTTAAGAATGCTCTGCAGTGTCAGGAACCAAACAGCACTTACACAATATCTTTCCGATGCATGATGCTTGTACTTTTACAGATTTGCAAGAGTGCAAAGACAAAGGGAGATAATAGGACTTACGACACTGCACTACAAGAGCTGAGACACTGGTTGATTGAAGGCTGTCGTCCGCACAGATATTCAGAGAAAGAATTGCGGAAGGAAATTTCAGAGTTGTGGGGTCCTAGAAAAGAACCATTTGAGCCTGATATTTTGACTAAGTTATGTATTAAACTGAAGACTGGGAAACAAGATGAACAAAATGTGTCTTCTTTGCTTGAAACGGGACTTAAAACGTGCATTGACAAGTATCCCAAGCAACCTGCCCCCACAGCAGTCTCTGAACCAGCAGAGAGAGATGATCTTCATGTTTCCCAGCTTAGGACTTGTTTGGAGAAAATACAGTTGGTAAGGGGAAAAAATGCAGTGCATATTAGATTTGAATATTATTGTATATGCATGTCTGCTTCTTTGTTTGTGCATTTAATTATTAGCTGTTAAGTGATCTAAATTGTAACTTGTATTACTGATAACATTTTCAAACAAATAAGTATCCCTCATGTTCACTGTAGTGAAAAAAGTATTCTGGACCAATTTTTTTAGCAAATTTTCATTGTTTGTGTTTGGATTTCAAAATGACCTCTGCATTCATGTGTTTTTTTCAGTGCAGTTTCAGTGTTCTTGATGTTTTTTTTTCTTTACAGGCCCCCACTCCCAAAGCAGCCAAACCAGTTAGTATGCCAGGGGCAGCTGTAGATGTCCAGGAAGTAGTGATTAGATCAAGTCAAACATCACAGGAAGTACTGAAGGAAGCTCATCCAACCTCACAGACAACCCATGGAGGTGGCGATGAAAATGCCCTAGCTGTGTCACAGGTGGTTGTGTGTGTGTGCACATGTGCTTGTGTGTGGACGCATGCATGTATGTGTCACTGTGTAGGCGTGCATGCATGCGTAAATGTGTGTGTGCATGCATGTGTGTAGGTGTCACTGTGAGAGCATGCATGCATGTGTGATATGTGTGTGTGCATGAGTGTGTGGGTGTGTTTGAGAGAACTTTTTATATCTTTATAGTAGAGCATATCCATCTACGGTAATTATTCATTCTTTTCATTGGGGGAATATTGTGAATCTTGCAGATACTGCTTTTTAAAGTTATAATTTGTTAAATTAGAATTTCCTATTGAGCAGCAGCAACCAAATTAGAAATCAGGCTACTATAGTTCTATTCTATGCAGTACTAGCACCACAAATGCTAATTAGCAATATAATTTTTGTGATTATAAAAATATGTATCCTAAAGTTTGATAATTTTTGCTGATTGGAAAGATCAAGTAATTATGCTATTACTTATTGCTTTGAGGTTTTCTTTTTTTTTCTTTTTATGTAATCTTTTTAAACTGTAGTCTGTAGAGTGTCAGTGAAAGATATAATAATAATAATAATAATAATATATTATTATTATTATTATTATTATTATTATTATTATGATAATTATTCACAGGCAGTGCCGCAAGCTTTAGACCCTAACTCTGTTAAGACTTCTTTCATCCAAGAAGAAGGCAGATCATTGGAAGAGACAGGTGGAAGCATGTTGCCATCAGAGACGCCGCCTAATCTCTTGCCTCCAGACAGCAATGAAGGTGGCACACATAGACCAGCTTTGGCTGAATCTGAATACGCGTCTTCTTCACAGCAAGTAGAACCTCTCACTGACATTGTAAGGACTGGTGACCCAGAGGCGGAGGATTCATTACAACAGGAAAGAAGAGAAGTACACAGCAACACGCTTACTGCTAACACACCAGCAAAATCTGAAGAAATACGTGAAAAAACCGACAAAGCAATTCAGTGTAATTTTTCAACAGAGCCACCAAGTGACATGAGAGGCCAGGTGCCCCAACACCCTTCTGTACCAATGGCTTATAGCTTCGAGTCCAAACAAGCCAAAAACTTGAAAGACATGGAGTATGATTTTTATGTGATATATTGTGCTGCTGACAAAGACTTTGTCAGTTTTCACTTCCTAACAACCTTAGAGAATTCAAAAGAGTTGAAAGGTTGCATAAAAGACAGAGACTTCACACCTGGTCAGTTGGTATTGAACTGTGTGACAAATGCAATAAAAAATAGCTCAAAAGTTATTGCTGTTATTTCACATGCTTCAGTAAAGGATTCTAAATGGCTCTACGAGATACACTTAGCACTAAAGGAATATAACAGTAGAGGCAGTGTAGCTCTGCAGTCCTCCAAGCTTCCCAGTTCTTATGTTATACCCATCTTGTGTGAGAATGAAGCTGGAGAATTACCCATAATGCCAGAAGTCTTTGAAGTCTTCGCAGCTGCTAAGGTTCCTTTTGACAGAAAAGATTGTAATTGGGACAAATTGGAAAAAGCTATTCGAGATGGTGAATAATTTGATTTTATTCTGGGATTTATTTAATTGGATATGGGCTATGGAACTTTAGCAGACACTAGATATTTATTTACTCATGGTCGTTCTCGACTCTTCCACTGTAACAATATATCTTGACTCCATTTGGTTGAAAACGGTTCCCTTTGTTGGTATTTTGTTAATTTTTCTTACAGTCTTCAGCACAGAGGTTTCTACAGGAGTTAAATGTTACATATTAATGTTCATCCTGCCATATAGAAATGTGTTCATTATCAAATTATTTTCCATTATTAAATTATTTTCAATTTTTAGACATCTCATTCAAATACACTGCAAAGAGCTGTGATCATTTGAAAATTACTTACTGGGATATTGAGACATAAATACAGACCACACGTCCAAGTGATGCAGTTTGATACTGTGATGCAAATTAATTTTTATGTACAGACACATCAGGAAAGAAAAGTAGGAAAACTGTCTTATGAGGTAATTTTTTGAAAGTTTCACGGGGTTTTTTTTTATTTAATTTTCACACATATGAGCATTTTCAAGATATGACTTTGAACTTCCATGGGCTTTAAGACCTTTGCCGGTCATTTTTTCTGATTATTCATGATATTTTTATTTTATAAAAAATTGATGGTGATTATGCTGTTCTGTTATGTAATATTGCATCAAAATTGAGGAAAATCTTATTTTGGGCACTGCCATCATAGTGACCATCAAAGAAAAAAATTCTTTACTCTTGTAGGAAAGAAACACAGGCCTAAAATTGAGCCTGAGTTGGGTAAGCAGTCTAATTGGCTTCTTTTTCTGGGAGTTCTACATTTTTGTAAAATTTTTTTCTTTCACATATTGGCATGTTCAGTATTGGACTTAGTACTCTCTTGGGCATGAAGCCCAGTGGTAATCAAATTTTCTAAGTAACCATGTAATTAATAGCAAATAACTAAAAATTGGTGGTAATTATACCGTTAATCAATATGTAATATTGCATTAGAATTGACAAAAAAAAACCTACCTCATGCACTGCCGCCACACACATTATGAAAAGAAAACTGTGTTACTTATTATTTTCTTAACTTACAAGAATAATTCTTAGGACTGATGTACAAGGTCTATTGGGTTATTTTTTTTTATTAAATTCATGCAATTTTTTGTGAAAGTTTCATTTTTCTCATTCTGGCATTTTGTTAGAGTGAACTTAAATTGTTATCGGCCTGAAGCCTTACGCTTTTACTTTCAACAACACTAGGTGTGCATAATTTTAATTTTAAAATTTTGATGCTGACTTTTCAGTTAAGCATAATGTATTATTCAATCAGAATTGACAGTATCCTTCAGTATTTTGTGCATTATTATTTTCTGCTTTTTGTGTGTACATTTGGCAGTTTTGCTGTCTTATTATCATATTGTATTGAAAAGTTAGATATTGAAGGTCAGTAAAGAAGAAGAATAACCAAGATATTGAAAATTGTGCTATTTTATGTGGGATATTTTTGTATGTAAAGGTGCTACAGCTTGAAATAAAAATTTGTTGATAAATTTATTCTTAATAGGTTTTATATCATCCTTTAACTTAAGGAGGGAATGTAGGTTTGAGATTTTCTCTTAAAATAAAGGTCTTGGCTTTTTTATTCCTGTCACATTCATTTAACGTATCTTCAAAATATCTAATTATNAATTTGTTTAGCGTTGACACCTTTTTGAGCGGATAACAATGTGGAATTTGAAGATATTAAGTTATACAGGTTGGATAGAAAGCATACCGGGTTTTGTACGTTCATTTTATTGAAGTGTTACTATAACATTTTCTAATTCAACGAAATTGTAAAAATTTAAAAGCAACAACCATATTTCATCTAGATCATGAAAGTTTTGATTTCGTAGCATCCAAATGTTAAGTTGACACAATGAGTCGCGCTGTGTTAGCGAGGGTGATTTTAGTGTAATATTTTAGTGTAATATTTTAGGCAGAAGGATGGTGATTGCTCGGTTTTATCTAGTTTTGCTTATTTTAGTGATTTTCTGTCTTGACAGGAGGGTACATGTACCCTTTCAGATATGCGGGGAGGGGGGGCACAATATGGTAGTGACAGGGCGACGGCTGTGTATCCGACTGTTGTGTAGATGTCCGGGAAGTGAGGTCACCGTCAGGTCGGTGACGTCACCAGTCTGTATTTCAACCACTAAAGGAAATAACCTGGTTAAAGCCCTCTCTTTGGATCCTGTTCAATCGTTGTGATGCGAGTGAACTTTAAGTTATGTTACTTGAAATATTAGACAACATCCGGGAAAGAGCTTGAATAGGCCTATGCCGTAATTTTTTTCTCTCTCTCTCCTAAATGTTTTATTTAATTTTATTTCTTGTCATTTAAAGACATTATATAAAATAACTATAACACTACCTTCCTACATTCAATCAAAATTTTATTTTCCTGATAAATGCAAAGAGCTGTGTAAATTGTCTTCTAGCCAGTCTTTTTTTTCAACTAGTATGATAAATTTTTGAATAGCATATTGTTTGACGTTTGAGATTTATTTCCAACTTTAAGGAAAGAGTATATACTACATTCGATTCCAACTTAGTAAAGGGGCTTTTCTTAAATTTTGGTAACTGCAGCGTGCGCGTCTAAAATAGAGTAAAAGTACAGGTACGTGTGTTTTGTAATACAATGACTGAGGAAAGAAGATTGATAAAGTATAGGATATATAAACAGATAAAATAAAGTATAGCATATATAAATAGATAAAATACTGACTCTTCAAACGCGCGTTTTAGTGGCTTCAAATATTGTTCTTCATGTCATATTATATATGCTTGCATTAACTATCTGAATACACGCTGAACGCGCTGGCGTGAAATTATCTCATAAAATTAAACAGAAAAATGCAGATGACGTAAGTCTTCACAGAAAGTCATCTTAAAGTCATCACATTAATTAACCAATGCCATCTACATAGACGATCCCGTTGGGTCCACGAGGCGGCCCATGAATAATAAGGCACCAGTTGACTTCTCCCTTATTAGGAAAATGAAGGGATGATCCGCATTGAAGAGAGGGGATGACATCATGGAGCGCGCCGAGGCCACTGCAGCGGTGGCCGCCGCCGCCTCCGTCCCCTTCTCATCTACTGCTATAAAAGCCTCGTGAAGAGCCGCCGAAATATAGAGACCATTCGCTTGGATGGCGATACCGGATAGATCAGCCCTGGAACGCTCGAAGACGTCCACCATCCCCATTGCGTTCAAGGGTGCCTTCAAGTTGACCTTCATATTCTTGAGAGTAAACTTGGGAAGATGCACGTCAAGGGTGCTGTTTGTTAGTCCTGACAGAGCCTGGTTCAAACCACCGGGTAAACTTAGTTTCTTCTCAACTTCCAAATAGCCATTGTACACTTCGGGCAGAATGATGAACATGCTGGCATCGCCGCTGTAAGGAACCTCAAGAATCCTGCTGTTCAGTTCGCGGCTAAATTTGTAATTAAAGCTTCCGCGTTGATACATCATCTTCGTACTTTTTGAGACAAAGGATCTGGACCCTGACACAGGCTGGTACCAGATTTTCAATTCAGTTGCTCTCTCGTCAAATTGCCGCCTCCAAGTGCCTTTGAAGTAAATAGCGTTGACGAGGACCATCACAGTGTTTTGGTTTATCAACGAGGGTGGAAGCAAGTTCTTGATCTTCGACTGGGTTTGCTCCTCTACAAATCTGTTGATGATGTTAGCGGCTGCAACGGGGTTCCGGAAATCCACTCCCCGAAGTGAAGCATTAAAGATGGACTCACAGAGCCGTAGATAAGCTGTACGGAATGAGTAAGACGGGTTTGCAAACAGCCTGTTGGCCGCCCGTAGTATGTATGTCCTTTCCTCACCGAACAAAATTCCGTTCAAGGCCTGGAGACCCGCGTTCTTTTCTGGCAAAGTCTTCAGCGAAAGCACGGTATCCATTTCATCTTTTGTATTTCCATTTGCCCCTAAAGAAACCATAGACATGACGGTGGCAATACTCAGTGGACTAAAGAACAGGTTCTCTGCAGGTTTTTCTTTGGCCAGGGTGTCGTAGAGCTTGGAGGAAAATTTGTTAAAGGCTTGAGCTGCGTCCCGCGCTCTGGTCAGACTTTGGGAAGTACCCATGGGCGGGGGATTACTTCCTGGTTGTTTCCTCAGTCCGCTGAAGTCCAGACTAGGGCGGTATGGTGTAGGACTTGCCGTGGTGGGTTGAACTGGCTTGTTGCCTGCTTGGCTGGAATCCTGGCCCGATGAGGACGAAGATGAAGACGAAGATGAAGATGAGAAAGTCTGGTCTACGTTGTCGCAGACGCTGTGGGCCGCCGCGCATGTCGCCTGAGCCATTTGGCGGCAGACGCTGGTCACCGACCCCTGCCCGCTGGTCACTTTACTGACCACTACAATACAACAGAGGGCGATGGGGAGCACCGCCTGGACTGACCACATCTTTCCTAATTAAGGCACTGAAACGAGAAGGTGAAAAATTAGAAATATTTTGAAGGATGAATTTAATATACTGCATTTATTGTTTCTTATATTGCATTTTGAACTATCATTCAGAAGAGCATTTTTGCTGTTGTTGTTGTTGTTGTTGTTGTCGAATCATGTCATCTTTAAAGACAATGTTTTACGTAATGACCTTTAATACCTATAGTCCCTTTGCCCGATCTCTTTAACCCCCCCCCCAATTTCGCCCACACCACAGAGCTAACAAGCCAATGCCCCTCCCCATCCGCCCCCACCACAGAGCTACCAAGTCAATGCCCCTCCCCTCCGCCCCCACCACAGAGCTACCAAGCCAGTGCCCCCCTCCGCCCCCACCACAGAGCTACCAAGCCAATGCCCCTCCCCATCCGCCCCCACCACAGAGCTACCAAGCCAGTGCCCCTCCCATCCGCCCCCACCACAAAACTACAAAGCCAGTGGCCTCCCCTCCCAGTCGTTCACTGCTACAGTTATATAAAAGAAGCCGTGCCTATTAGTCAGCAACGAAGCGGATTTTTGATCATGAAAAGAGGTCACAGGAACATACACCCATTGCAAATGCTACGTTACAAAAAAAAACGACTGCAGAGACAGACGGTCTAAAAATTGGTATTTGAATGGTTTCTCTGGACATTTTATCTAATATAAAGACCCGAAGTACTCCGCCTTTTGCGGTGAAATTAATGATATTTTAACCTGGCTTAATTACATTTAAAACAAGGATTATACAGCATCCGAGTCAAGCACTGAAGGCTACAGTGTATGCCTCTGCATTAAGCAGCTGTCAGTGTTTGAAATAAGATATTAAAATTTTTGGTTAAAAACCTAAACCTGTTGGCACATTCTGTACGACATCAGCCACACCCCCCCCCCCACTCCCCCACCCCCTCCCTCGATACCCAGTACGCCTACCTTGCTGTGGATAACCGCACTACTGACTCGCTCAGCTTGTAGCAGTGTTCGCAGCACTGATATATATATTGTGAGTTCAGGAGAACCAGTGAGATTTATAAGTATATGCACACGAATTTTGTTGTCAACAGGATACGTTTGTTCTGAGTGGTTTATAGTAACATTTCCTGTAAACCCGGATGTAGCGAAACCGACCACTCATGGTTACTATCCTATACACATAGAAGAAAGTGGCCTTCCAGAAAAGTGTGCATATTGAGTCACTTTTGTGACGCACTTATTTTGTTTAATGTTTTGATAATTGCTTTGCATCACTTTTAATTACTGGGTCTGTTAAATTCTTTCCATATAAGAGGAAAATATAGCATAAAGGAATAAAAACGAAAAAAATGGGGAAAGTCAAAATCATTCAATGTGCGTCATATAAGTTAGTTAAATATTCACTTTAAAATTTTGTCGAATAACTCATAATATCCATACTCTACTCTATACCAGCAACTATCTGGGCGATGGTGGTATTTTTTTCCATAAATTCTCAGTTCAGAAATCTGCACATCAATTAATATGTAGAAGGTCCCGCAGCCCCAGTATCGAGACCAGGCGGACTTACAGCACACGCTCCTCCGCCCACTGGTTTCTTCTCTTGTTTTGTCGGGTTGATTTTTTTTTCTTGAGCGACTTCTAAAAATTAAACCAGGACGTCACTCATTGTTATGAATTTCTCAACATCACAGTTCAAATGAATCCGTCGTGATGCATTAAATAGAAGCTTATACGTCGTGATGCATTAAATAGAAGCTTATATCCTTTTGTACGCTTCTTAAATTATTTCCTTTTAGGGAGTGGTTAAAATCAAACACAACCTCACCTCCCTTTATCTAAGCCCATAAACCTAGAAATATTGTCTTAAACTTTTTTCTAGGTTTTATATGTACTTGATTTTATTTTACTCTGGTGAAAATTGTCTCCGCACGATCATCCTTTTTATGCCCAGACGATTCTTCTGTAAAGAAGAAAGGTCTCCTCCGCGCTCTAATCCAGAGCTATATTACCATGCTAATTATTCTGTGTTTGTGCGTTTTATCTTTTTATTTAAACGTTTTCATGTTAAACCATCTTTCACTTTTGTGTAATCCTTTGTTTTATTCATGCTGAAGCTAACATCAGTTAAAACCATATAAAATCAAATTGATTTTTTTTATTTTATTTTATTTATTTATTATTTTTTTTTTTGTATTTTTTAAAACCGCCAGCCTGTATAAAACTCCTTTGCCTGATTTCGCCACGCCTAAGCTAACAATAGAGAGTAAAATTATAAATATCTCAAGTAACCGGAGGTCCGGTCTGGAAAAGCTTATAGCCGTCGCTATTATTGGACCTACGCTTTCAGCGATACAGAACAACTGTATTGTGGCCTTTCAAATAAAAATACTTTCGGTATGTACGATTTCCTTTACTGAATTACGTGTCAGAGTCACCGCCCATGAAAAAATGAAACAAATACCTTCGCAATTTTCTTGGTGTTTGCTAAATTTTCATATTAAGTAAACAGTTTGATGTAAGTGTCTTGGCAATCAATTGTTCCACCCAGCCGAAAATAGATCCAGCTGCGCTTTATATAGATTTTTCAGAGAACCGTTTTGTTTCAAGGAGGCGCAATGTGAACAGTCTCAGTATAAACTAAGACATAGGAAACGTTTCGTACGTCCTTAAGCTTGGTATAAAACACTGGGAGAGTGAGAACAACGGCTGTGATGTCACATCCGGGTATCAACGAGATCAGGTTCATGTTGTCTTTAAAAAAGAATAATGCTTTTCGAGTTGGAAGACCTTAAATTGTTTGAACGATGGGTCCAAGTTTGAAAGAACTGCCTTTGGATCAGAAAGTGAATCCAGTGAATCACAATTTGATCAAGGTTGTATGTCATTTCGTAAGTTGGGTGAACTGAAGAGGAAAAAAGTTTAGTTTTTCAGAATAAGAAACCCCTCTTCTGAAATTTCTGTTTTCAGGCCTTTGCATGTGCGAGTTCTTGTTCACGGGCATTCTTGTGCTTGTCAACATAGCGGTGTCTCTATTAATGCTGCCTGATAAACCAGATCTTTGTCTAGAGGTCGAAGAACTGAACTAACAGCCCTTAATCACAACTGTGAAGTTCCGTTATCTTCCCGCGTTACAACATACACCGATATATGCCTTAATTCTACTCAATGATGCATGGGAATTGTTAAGCTCCATGCCTGGGTAACATGTCGCTATTCTTTACATGACTCAGTAGAATTTCGATCACCCAGAAAACATTTGAAAAATCTACAAAATCTGAAATTCTTCCGAAGAACTTCGAAGACAACTACCCCCCCCCCCTCCCCAAAGAATGGCATTCCTGTAATGTTGACTGAAGTCAGCTATCATTTGCTATGAAAGGCTGCTATTCTATACTTCAGGTTCAGGTTCTTACTATACTGTGTGTCTTTGGCTGCATTCACGACCAAACTGGATCCCCTGACTAACAGATCCGCGGATCAAATATGGCCGACCCACTTGAAAGCTTGGCGCGTAATCCCGAGCTAGGAATCTTTTTAGTGTCTGTTAGGGAATTATGCCACACGCTTTCAAGTGGGTTAGCCATATTTGATCCGCGGATCTGTTAGTCCGCGGACCAACATGTTCTGGATGCGGACTTTATAACTAAGTAAACCGGCATCCTGGCTTATGATAGTTTTTTAGTTCTTTGAAAACTCCGAAGTGAAGAAATAACATAATAATCATTGGTGCATTCGTGGGAGAGGGGATTCTACCTCTTTGCCCCCCCCCCCCCCCCCTCCCCACCGCATAGCAACCCCACAGTATCTATACAAATAAAGATTGCGTGCCCGTAGGCAGGTGGGGTCTGGGGATCAAAAACCTATTGATCGGAAAAGATTAATTTTGAATCATTTTTATACATGATCCAGATCATTTCTCAATTTGGGTCAGGTAAAGAGGTAAAAAGTTTCAGTCTTTCAGAAAGAGAATCCCTTCCCTTTAAAAATGGTGGCTTGATTAGGGGATTAATATCTATCAAGGGTAAAGTTAACTCGATGCAACTTGTCATATTTGTCCTGCTGTGGTGCGTTTTCTGTTTTACACTGTGATATTCCATCAGTTGATCTGCATTTATTTAATTTTCCGAGAATATGATAACTTTGTGAAGTGTCACGCTGCACTGAAGACAAGCAGGTTTGTATCTGTTTGCAGTAGGACCCGCCCTCTACATAGCTCCTTGATTGACGTAAACTATGCGACGACCCTGGATTGCAAGATGTCCAATAATTATGACTGCGATTAATGATTAACTATAATAAATCAAATATTAAGAAAAAACATCTCAGTGTCTTCTTAGTGGTATGTATTATTGTAATGTCAGGGACGGTTTACACACCCCTACCTCTTTCCCATCACTATGTGATATTAATTTGGACCTTACCCCTTCACCGCGATAACCCGGCCCTGATATAACTGGTCGCACACCTAGCTGGTGAGATTAGAGACAACTGACTTCAGGGACATATCATCATGAAGCTGTCCCTTGTGGCATGTGTTTTACTTTTGTTAGGCTATGGTGAGTATCCAAATTATTTCTTATTCGTGTCTTGTCGTTATTGGACCTTTCTTAAAATCATCCTTTTAAATTGCAATCTTAATTTTTCTATTTAATTCCAGTTTAATTTAATTTATTTTAATCTTTTAGTGGTCGTGAAATTTAAAGATGTCTTTATATTTGATAAAAAATGAGCAGTTGCGGTAGGTTTGTGGTGCTTTAAGTTATCCCAGAAGAAAAGGGTAATAAACGAGCTTTATGTTCTCCTTGAAAATTTACCCACGCACATGGCAAAGTTAATTTTGTTGGATAGTTTTCATGCTCAAAAAGATCAGTTTTTTAGTCATTTAACATAAATCTCTCTCTCTCTCTCTCTCTCTCTCTCTGTTTATTTTGCAACAAAGAAAACGTTTTCCCTCGCTTGGTTCCCCTAAAACAGTCTCGATTTCTCTCGACTTCACCTATCTCTTTCCTGGGACGTAAGAATGTGAAATTATTGCATATTTGTTAAATTCTGAAAACATTTTAACATTGTTCAAATGATAACATGGTTGTTGCTGTAACTTGTGTTGACTGGTTTTCTCGCGGAGGTTGATGTCAGTCATTAAATTCCAGTGTCGTCCCAGGCCAGCGTGAGGATCGAGGTTGACACTGGCTCAGTGAGGTACTTCTCCAGTGCAGTACCCAAGGAAGGGATAACCATCACGGTGAGTGGAAAACTGCACAGATTTTAACACATTCTCCAAGCTTTTGACCAGCGATATTTTGTATCTTTCATAGACGATGTCTTCTCTATTAATGCCGGGTAAAACTTTATATAGGCTGCATTGTGTTACTGTTACAAACTAGTTTTAATTCAATTCAGTTGTTTGGTATGAGGACGGCGGGTTTAGGACATTACGATATAATCTGTTAAAAGAATATCAAAGTCTTAGTTCAAGGACGGAGGCTTCATAATGGCGAATGGTATTCATACTAAGAATTAAGTTTACACAAGGCGTTTTTTACAAAAACGAAAGGACGAAAAAAATTCAGTTTGCGAAATGCACCTCGTAAATACCCCCCTCCCCTTTCTATAACAAGAGCCTATGTTCTGTGGAAGACATGAATACAATATGTATAATGAATTTATTCGGATTTTGACCGATTTTTAAATTAGAATCACTTTAACCCCATCCCCCCCCTGAATTTGAGGAATTTTTTCGGTGGCATCCAGTCAACAAGTTTGAGGTAATTCCCACTGGCTTTGAATTTCAAGGCATTCTCAGTTTTAGCGCTTCTTTCAATTGTGACTTCATCGGCTTTTCACTTTTCCAAAATGTCTTGCTGGACAGTACAGCAATGTGCAGAGAAATAGCCAGAGAAATGTCTGTGAATATTTGGTGAAATCACTCTCTGTGACCCTGGTAGCTTCACTGAGAGTTACAGGAGAAGTTAGAATCTGGAAAAAGGATTCGAACAAATATTACTGTAACCAAATTGGAAGGCGGCCAACAGTAACACATGGCAGATTTCAAACTGAGGTGAGCCAGTTCGTAACTGCTTGTCCTTATTCTCACAAATCACGAGCACGAAGAACGCTCTGTTACAGGGAAGTTCTTCCACATTTAGAGAGATAAATGGTTCATATCACTCCTCGTCCATGACGCGAAGATTAAACCCGTCTCCAGTCTGACGATATAGAAACTTAAATATGGGACAAAACTTGTGCAAACGCTGATAAAACACGTGGGAGAATACGCAGACGAATGGCTGCCTTCTTTGCCAAGGACGCAGCTCATGCAGCTGGTCTTTAAAAAAACTGGGTTATTCTTGTCAGCCGCCTACACCTGCGTTCAGAAGTCCTTTGTCTTTACTTGTCAAACGACAGTCAACATCTGAAGGACAGATAACATATTTTCTTGACTGGGCAACTCCTTTTCACCACACCTACTCTTCTTCCCATCAGAGAAATCCGATATCTAGTTACCCATTTCATATCTGTTATATACACTTTTGGAAGTTTATCAGTTCAAAAAATAAGTTTGGTGTTAATTTAAGCCACAATCTGATCACACATTTCGACAGCTGACAAGTGTTATATGTAAAATCAAACAAGTCAGATTTGATGATCAACTCCTGGGCGATAATGATAAAACTGGTATCTGTTATTTAGAATATGACGTCAGTACAGTAAGTCAAGAAACCCATCAATCGTGGGTGACGTAATAGTTTATTTTAGATCTATTTGATCAGACATGCTTCTGAGCACGGTGGACATTTTGCGGTGTCAATATTTTCATAATTTTTGTTCTTAAACTCATACAGACTATTAACCAATTCACTTACACTTAAATGTATGAGAACATATGGGTAAAAAGAACTAACTTACGTTTAACAACATCAAACGTACCAAAATAATTACCATCATGATTTTCAAATTTATTAAAGAATTGCCGTATTCCCTTCAACCCCTCAGGTAAGGTCTATTCAGGGCACAGGTGTCCTATATTTCTCCACACAAACCAGGACCCCGGGACCGACCTCCAATGAGGGCAAGGTGGACCTCGCTAATGGCACCTCCCATCTGGTCTTCATAGACGGGAAGGGAACAGACGAGATCCACGGCGCCCTAGCGGCTCTGGACTCCGGTGTGGACGGCAGCGGTGATGGCGCAGACGATAAGGTCATCATTGAATTACAGGCGCAAAATGGCGACCACAGACCAGGTATGACTTTATTTATTTATTAATTGATTAATTGATTGATTTAATTATTCAATAGAATTAAATTCTATTTTTTTCCTTTTAAGTAATCTTTTATTTTTGAATCTAGAGGAATATTGAACATTTATATGAAGATATTTTGACATGTATCTCGTGTACAGATTTGCCCATAACATTTATTCAGTCACTTCTTATATAGATCTGTGTGCAAGCGGTCCCTGTCAAAATGGCGCCACGTGTCAAAATGGCGGAAACGCCTATAGCTGCACGTGCCCCGCGGGATTCCAGGGAATAAACTGTGATATTGGTAAGTCACGTAAACAGATGCCACTGGAATATATTTTTCTTGATAAATTTCTATTTCTGAAATAATACTGCATTGTTTTTTTATTCGGAGAAATCGAAAATCCTCCCCCATCACTGTCAAGTGTTTAAAAAGCTTATTTTAACCTGTGTAAATTTATGAAAAATATTGACATCGAAGGAATCTTTTCTTTCTTTTGCACACATATCTAAATCAAATTATTTACAAAAAATAATTTTGCATTGGCACAAGGTTATGAACTCTTAAAAATGACATCAATTGAAAAGTGACTAGTGACTTTTGTTTCTAGACATAAATGAATGTGACAGTTATCCTTGCCAAAATGGCGGGACGTGCCGAGACAGTGTCAATGACTACAGTTGTACCTGTCATCCAGGGTTCAAAGGGAAAAGTTGCGAGATCAGTAAGTGAAGCCATTGATCTCAGGAAACTGAAGCTAGGTTTTTTTTAGACTGAGCTTAATCTTTAAAAATACTCGGTGATAATAAATCCTTTCTTTTCGGACATTTTTCGTACACAAAAGTGAAAGAAATAACCATTTCTAATGATCATCAAGCGGAAAAAAAATTCATGGCTTATACCTGCAAAATTTGCATCCGACTTGCCGACTAAATTTTCCAATTGTTTTTTTTTTTTTTTAGTCGTTTACAGAAAAGCTTAATTTTGACAAAATATAGTATATTGAAAATTTTGCCTCTCAGAAATGACCATAAAATTAATTATGTACATTTTTCTTTTTAGACATTGATGAATGTGACAGCACACCATGTCAAAATGGAGGAAAGTGTCAAGATGACATCAACGGCTACAGTTGCATGTGTCCAGGCGGGTTCCAGGGGAAAAACTGCGAAATTGGTAGGTACAGAATTGATTTTGACAATATTGAAGATCTTTTCTCTTTCAAATTCAATGTTTACAGGTACAATGGCAGAGTATCGATGAGGATTCATTAATTTGAACAAGGAAAGTTAACAAATTGAAAATATCACATCCCAAGATTCAAAATGGAGAGCCAGACGAAAGTGATCTACCGATCGTCAACCATTAGATTGCGTTAGCTGAGATAAGAACTTTCGATTTTGATGAACACCGTGTGTCTTCAGGTCACCGGGCTCTACAGTTTTCTATACCTCAGCGGTGTGCTTGATCTAAATTTTAATAAGGCTCCGGGGTGGGTGTGTGTGTGGGGGGGGGGGAGGGGCGTTAAGGGTGACTCTATTATATTACCATACTGTCAATTTCTCAAACTGGTGAACAACAGAAAACTGTTGAGCTCGATATGAAAAGAACTTTGTTCACATAGCAAGACTGTAGACCTGCCTGCTCCAGCTTAGAGTTGGTAAAGAAAGTTTGTCAAATTATCATTATTTGTTCCATTTTACATTGAATACTCTTCGTATTGCCCAGCAAACTGCTGCACCTGTTTTTTTCTTTATTTGTTCATTTTTGTTCATACATGTACACCGGACTGATGTGACCTATCAATAAATATGTGCATTTCAATCATATTTTACGTAATGTCTACACGAGCTGGCATGATAGAATTCTAATATAGACAATAGATGTAGTTTGTCAAAATTCTCCATTTGTGTTTTTCTTCAGCCCCCACTTTCAAGAACCCATGCCAGTCATCTCAGTTCCAGGCCGGGCACCTGTTCTTTAAGCATCCTAGTGACAGGTCCAAATACGTCCAATGTGACCTATGGGGGAACATGTACATCGGGAGCTGTCCGGGTAACCTTCTGTGGAGTGAGGTCATAGACGCCTGCGTCCATCCTACACATCACGCCAACTTACTGGGAGGGCGCGGCAAGAGGCTGGCGGTCCTGTTCAATCCGTGTGCTATCAAGGCCAACATCGATGCTGGTCGCCTGTACCACCCCTATCCCGGTGACAAAGCCAAGTACATACAGTGTGATAAGGTCGGTAATATGTTCATCAAGGACTGCGCTCCAGGGTCTTGGTGGAACCAGCAAAACGAGACCTGCGGTGATCACGCCAAGCCGGGACCAAAACCGTTCAATATCAAAACCACCACCCTTCCCCCAACCACCACCACTACGACCACCCCAAAACCACCCAAAAACCCCTGCACGCAAACGAATATAGCAAATGGGGCTTTGTACCACCCGTACCCCGGAGACAAGACCAAATACATCCAATGCGACCTCTGGGGAAGCATGTATGTGAAGCAGTGCGGTGCCGGTACTTGGTGGAATCAGAAGAACGAAACCTGTGTTGACGCCATCGCCGAGGCCCTGATCAAATACGGTGTTTTCAAGCCTGCTGTTCGTCTGGCAGCCACTCCAACCCAGGCACCTTCAACCGTAAAGCCCATAAAGAACCCATGTACCCCAGAGAACCTGAACCAAGGCCTCTTCTACTTCGCGTATCCCGGTGACAAGACCAAGTTTATCCAGTGTGACACGTGGGGGGTGATGACAGTGAGGACGTGTAGCGTTGGCACCGCATGGAACCAGAAGAATCAGACCTGCGCCGACGCTTTCGACGGGAAAGTGGTAAAACCTTTTGCTGCAGTGACCCAGCCCCCAACGCCAGCCCCAACAACCACACAGGCACCCACTACAAAGCCAGCAACCCAGCCTCCCATCTCTAACCCCTGTACCCCGCAGAACATCGCACTAAACAAACTGTTCTTCCCACACCCCTACGATAACACCAAGTACCTCCAGTGTGATCTGTGGGGGAACGTGTGGGAACAGAGCTGCCAGCCGGGGATGGTCTGGGACCAAAGGTACGAGACCTGCGTTCCATCACCTGGCGGGCCAGTTGTGTTTAAAGTGACCACTAGCACTGCTGCACCGACAACAACAACAACTACTACAACCACCACAACCACTCCAAAGCCCACCACAACCACTACTACCACTACCCAAGCCCCAACCAACACACCAGTCAAGAACCCCTGCACCGTACAGAACATTAATGCTGGTCGTATATACCACCCATACCCCGGAGACAAGACCCGCTACATCCAATGTGACCTGTGGGGAAGTATGTACGTGAAGCAGTGCGGTGCCGGCACTTGGTGGAACCAGAAAAACGAAACTTGCGTCGACGCCATCGCCGAGGCTGTAATCAACGGTATTGTCAAACCCGCTGTGCGTGCAGTATCCATTACAAACCCCTGCACTCCAGACAACATTGCCAATAACATTTTCTACTTCCCATACCCCGGGGATAAAACTAAATACATACAGTGCGATAAATGGGGCAATATGTATGTCCAGAGCTGTCCGGCAGGATTGTGGTGGTTTCAAAAGAATGAAACCTGCGTCAGAGCTTTGCCTATGCCTGCTGTCATGAGAGTGTCTACCACCACCACCACGACCCCTGCACCACTAGTGAACCCGTGTACCCCACAGAACATCGCACTGGGCAAACTGTTCTTCCCACACCCCTACGATAACACCAAGTACCTCCAGTGTGATCTGTGGGGGAACGTGTGGGAACAGAGCTGCAAAGCGGGGATGGTCTGGGACCAGAGGGCTGATACATGCGTTCCATCATCTGCCATTCCAGTTGTGTTTAAAGTGACCCCTAGCACCGCGGCACCGACAACAACAACAACCACTACAACCACCACAACCACACCAAAGCCCACCACCACCACTACTACCACAACCCAAGCCCCAACCAACAAACCGGTCAAGAACCCCTGCACCGTACAGAATATTAATGCTGGTCGTATATACCACCCGTACCCCGGAGACAAGACCCGCTACATCCAATGTGACCTGTGGGGAAGCATGTACGTGAAGCAGTGCGGTGCCGGCACTTGGTGGAATCAGAAGAACGAAACCTGCGTCGACGCCATCGCCGAGGCTGTAATCAACGGTATTGCTAAGCCTGCTGCACGTGCAGCATCTATTACAAACCCCTGCACTCCAGACAACATCGCCAATAACATTTTATACTTCCCATACCCCGGGGATAAAACCAAATACATACAGTGCGATAAGTGGGGCAATATGTTTATAAAGAGTTGTCCGGCGGGACTGTGGTGGTCCCAGAAGAATGAAACCTGCGTCACCTCTGTACCTACGCCTGCTGGCATGAGAGTGTCTACCACGACCCCCGCACCACTGGTGAACCCGTGTACCACGCAGAACATCGCACTGAACAAACTGTTCTTCCCACACCCCTACGATAACACCAAGTACCTCCAGTGTGATCTGTGGGGGAACGTGTTTGTACAGAGCTGCAAAGCGGGGATGATCTGGGACCAGAGGGTTGAGACCTGCGTTCCATTCCGTGGTCGCAGGGCGGCAATTTTTAGCCATCCTTGCACTCCCGAGAACATCAAGGCAGGCAATATGTTCTTTGCCTATCCCGCAAATAAGTACAAGTATATCCAGTGTTCCATTTGGGGCGGACAGTTCCTGATGTCTTGCGGTGCAGGCACGTGGTGGAACCAGCTTGGACAGACCTGTGTTGATGCCGCCTCTGAGGCCCTCATCATCGCCAGCCATGGAAAACCAGCTTCGTGGGGCAGGACAACACCAGCACCGGCCACAACCAACAGACCCATCGTCAACCCCTGCACCCCTGCAAATTTGGCTCTGAAGAACATCCTCTTTGCACACCCATGGGATGCAACCAAGTACCTGCAGTGCAACCCACAGGGTATTATGTACATTATGAATTGCCCCAGGGGAACGTTCTGGAATCAGAAACACGTTCAGTGCTCGTCCAGCATTGGAGACCTGGTGGGGAAATCTACGCCTCCACCAAAGACAAATCCACCCTCCACAGCTCCACCAACCACTACTCAACCACCAACCACCCAGCCACCAACCACTACTCAACCACCTACAACAACCCAACCTCCTACAACCACTACACAACCACCGACCACCACTACTTCCACCCCAAAACCAACCACCACTGAAAAAATAACAACTGTGCCAGCCACAACAATGCCTCCATCAACCACCGGACCTCCCATCCCCAATCCTTGCACTCCAGAGAAAATAGCGGCCGGGATACTGGTTTTCCCATACAAACCAGACAAATCCAAGTACCTCCAGTGTGACCTTTGGGGCAAGGTGTACTTGGTGGAGTGTCCAAAGGGAACGCAGTGGAACCAAACAGCCGAGCAGTGTTCCGGCGGCGCCATCACCCGTAAAACCTTCGGTAGTGGTCTGAGGACCACATTGGACAACCCGTGTACCCCTGAAAACATCAACGCCGGCAAGTACTACTTCCCCTACCCGGGTGACAAGACCAAGTACATCCAGTGCGACCTCTGGGGCAATATGTACATCCGGAACTGCTCCGAGGGGACCGTGTGGAACCAGAAGAATGAAACATGTGTCCAGGTTGACCCAGATCAGCCAGGAGCCAGTGTTAAGACAGACAAGGTGAAGCTCATCCCGCTGGCACTCAATAACCCCTGCACTCCAGGCAGCGTCAAGTCCGGGCACGTGTTTTACGCCCACCCTGATCCCAAGATGTACATCCAGTGTGATCGCCTCGGAAACCCCTTGCTTCATAAATGCCACAGTGGCATGAAGTGGGACGACACACAGAAGCGTTGTGTTAGTACCAAGAGTGTGGTCTTCATCAGCGGACCGTAAATCAGTCCGCAATCTTTGACTGCCCACGACTTTACCTATGCCAACCTTGATTTCGTACGTTCTTAGTGTAGAATTCACAAAGTCTCTTCATGGCCAAAATCAGACCTGCTGTATGTGAATCAGGCACAACTTTTATCTATGCAGTATTCTCGTCTTCATACACACGTTAATGTAGTTGATATCTTCAATGAAAAATCTTTATTTTTGTTTACGAGACCGTCGTTTATTTATCATACAAATCATCATGCTAATCACCTGCTTACACAGTGTATATCACCTGACAGTTAAATGGTTTCAGTGTAATTGATTTGTAGAGACTTTTTTCCGCAATGCGATTCACTGATTTAACGTCAAAGGAGACGGTTACATCGGTTTATATTGTGATTGAAATTTAAGATTCCCAAAATAAATATTAAATGCACGAAATTTTTGTTGTGATCTTTTACATCTTTATTGCATCAGCGTGTTTTATTTCCATGTTCTTTGTAACAATCGGTGCTTTAGGTGTTCTATAATATATGCTTGCATTGTCAGTGGAAATTTACTATGCAAAAAATCCGTATCTTTTAAGTTAATTAAATATAATAAGGTACATGTAGTATGATAACATTAAATAATTCTCGAAGTTGGAAGCTCAAAACCTTTTTTAACCAAGATTATGACAACAAAACTGACGACTAATATGAAATATGGATTTTTCTTCACTGTTTTACTAAACTACAACGAATTCTCATTGAAGATTAAAAATCTAAAAAACTGAGATGATTAAAATATGCGATATGGAAAGCAACTTCTTAGACTAATGATACTTGTATTAAAGACGATTTTCATGACATTTCAAGGTAAAATGAAGAAATGAGCTCGTTAGATTTTCTCAACTTAGAGCACTTGAAAAAGCGGTGAATACTTAAAAGTATGCATATATCGATGCAAAGAGAACGCGTATATCGCTAGATATTATATTAATTTCGCGTACAAATAAGAGAATTGTTAGCAAAACTACAGTGTATTTTCAGTTTTAAGAACTCGGAACACTAGGAGTCGGGGAGAGTTTTGATTAAGATCGGCATGTTGGGTGAAAAAGGGCCCCTAAATCTCTTGAGACTCCCTACGAAAATGGGAGGGTTGATAGTTGATAACTGGTAGTTGATTTTATAAGTTTGTTATGAGGAAGGAAGACAAAACTCACAATTTTGGGAATTATATATTTTAAATTTTAGGGAGTATATATTTTGAAACTCCAGCAGAAAAGAGGTAGTTCTTTTCATTAATCTATCTCTCAACGTTCCACGATCTTTATTCTTTATTCCCCTATCACTACCGAGAAGCTAGTTGTATCCGCGGTTTATAGCTGAAGCTTTTTAGCCTTCATAAAAGTTTACATTGTTTCTTAAAAATGTAAGCGTGTTCTTTGCACCTATCGATCGTCCGTCACAATATATTAACATGGGTGGGGTCTACTTACTCCCAGAAAACATCATCAACTACTATATACGTGTTAAATCTGCCATTCTGTTAACTACCTTGTAACGCATTCCAAAGTCAACGAAATGAATGCAAAACTATCATTAATTACCGCTACGTCAATTAGCTTTTGGAGACCACCACCGTGAAGTTCTGAGCCAATCAAACTCGATAACAGTGCGTCACATCTGCGTTCTTCCCACCCCTCCAGCCGACACCGTGCAATCCACTTGATAATACTGGTTCTGGTGGTTACCTTTTGATCGACCAACGATGACATCTTCTAGATGCGCGTGTCCATTATGATGGTGCTCAGATAAGGGCGACATCGCATTTGACGGGGCCCGAGTCGAGGATAGTTAATGGAAAGAAGAGCTGAGACCCCCGGCAGTGTGTTGTAAACTGTTTGTTGGGTTACAAGAAGCGATCACATCGCCTCTTCTCGCTGCTGGCTTTTTCTTTCACCTGACCGCGCGCTGAAGGCAGACGATCACTGGCTACCGTGGCAGACGACACAAAACCACGCAGACGACCCTTGCACAGCGCTGGACATTAGTTACACATTCCGCTTGCAGTAATTGCTGTTAACATGAGCTTTGATTTTGACTGGAAAAACAGAATATCAGAGATAATCGTGTAATTGAAACGCTGAAATTCAACAATAGCGTCTCTATTTGCATTTGCGTATTTGAGAAAAGTCCAATCTGATCACTTAAAGAGGTCACTGAGAATACACAAATCACGGGAACGAAACGAGCAACCTCCAGTAAAAATGGGTAAGTTTTCTTATTTCACCTTATTTATAAAATAATATTTACTTTTTTTCAAACTTTTTTCAAAATCAGCACTTAATTTTACCATTCGTATGCCATTACTAAAAATTATCTAAATAATAAAAACCTATTTGTCTTTACTAGAATAGTATTTTATAATATTTTTAAATTCACAAAAAAAATGCGAAAGGCGGTGATAAAAGTAAGGCGGAACTTAAAGCAGAAAAAAAGAGGTGCAGAAGAAAGACAATACATATCATCGACTATGCGAGGACATCTTAAATTTAGCTTTTCGACAATGGTTTTGATCGTCTTCAATTTAGTCCAAAGTAAGAAATTAACCATTTGGCAAAATTATTAGCTTTTTTGGTCTATTAAATAAACATAATATTTCATCACGGGGCATGACAACAGACTGGCCTTGGATCATAGATCAGTAAAATTTTTGGCCTAAAACTTCAGCCTAATTTTCTGGCAAAATTACTTGTGTAAAACTGGTCGTTGATCTGGTCACTAAAAGGGATAATTTAAAATTGGGACTGGACATATAGTCAGTGTGCAGCTGGACGCTTGGCCCTACAACGTCAATTATCTTCAAAATCGTTATTACGCTTCATTTAGTTTTGCCAGGAAAATACTAGGACCAATGAAGCAACCCTTGTAAAATATTCAAAGTTGGTCATGACAAATTTTTGAGAGTACGATCACAATATTGGAAAAAATTAGGGATAGTAGGCCTATAAAGCGAAAAACGTAATGATCATTGTAGTCTGATCTCACGACATTGAAGTGATCAATCAAAATGCACCGTTTAAATTTTTTCACATAGATTTACTAGGCGAATATTAGGACCTACGAAACATACCGAGTCTCCTTGTATTGGGGATATTTAAATTATGATCACAACATTTCAATAAAAAAGTGAGAGTATAAAGCCGCAGGCGTAGTGATCATTGAAGTCTGATCTCACGAAGGTGAAGTGATAAATCCGAGATAAGTCTCGTGTTGTGAGCAGACGACAGCTGGTGTAAGATAGTCTGCTATCACCTTTGACAGCGACGTGATCGTTTGGTGTGACGAGAGAAAGATAAATCTTGAAAGTCGGTTAGGACAGAGACATTTTTTATGTGCGCTCTTCAATACATCAATTTATTTATCTACATTTAAGAAAACCTTTCTTCCTATCTTTGTCTTACTTAAAACCACCGTTTCGTCCTTGCAGAGGTGTTATGTTGAATGTAAATATCTGTAATAAAAGGTGACAGAAAATTATCCGAGTATTAACTGAGGACAAGACGACAGCTTGAACCCTTTCTGAGACAAGGCGCGTGCAGAGTGACTCCAACGTTCTGCGATCGTATTGCTGGGCTCAAACTGTTCTTGGAGTCGCTTTTTCAGTTGAACATTGCTCTGAGAAAAGAGAAAATCGTTTCCAGATCAAAATCTTTTGTTGCACTGCCTTCCTGCGATTTATCACAAATAAGAATTCTCAAGAGGTAATGTTTTATTGAAGAAAAAGGGAGGAAGGTAACCCACACGTGACATCTTCATGTTGGAAAGGTCGTAGAAAAGTCTTCTTTTATTCATAATTCACTTTGCTAAAATTCGTTTCTTTGTTTATTGGGTTGACCACCACCTTCTCGTGCGATGGAATTAAAAAGTTCAGACACCGAGACATTGATATGTCTTTTATAAACAATGAAATTACCTCAGCATGAGCACAATGACTCCCATGCTTGCAAACTGTAGCCTATGAATATGCAATGATACTGAAAACAAGGGGTAAATACTGAAAACAAGGGGTATACACGTACTGTTAAAAACGAAGTCTATTTTCGTAGCTAATGCTGACCAATGTGACAAAAAATCTATATAACATTACACTATACATTGCTGATAATTTTCATTGAAACTGTCAACCCCATTCCTGACAAAAAGTAACGAAAAACAGTTTTATTATATCGGAAGTTGTTGTAGAGTATCAAAAATCAACTGTAGGTCATATGCGGCACGCGAGCGACTGTCACCCCCACAGGAAACAAAAGGTGCCAGCAACAACCAAGTGGCTGATACCTGCATGGTTAAGNCCCCCCCCCCCCCCCCCCCTGTATTTAGTTCTCGACTAGACCATTGTTTGTCCAAGCCGTGCTAACAAAAGTTTAGCGAGCAGCCCGGTTGATGTTTGCACTACCGGACTAGTTTGTATGTCTGTTCCTTCACCAGCTGTTATGCGGTATTATGTCACTTTACTAGTAGAACAGCGACGGGAAAAGTAGGAAGAAGGGTTTTATAATTTCAAAATTCAACTCAAAGTAGGTTCGATCATGCGGTATCAAGATTTCTCAGGTAAGATTACAGGAATCGTAGTTTGTTTTCGTGTGCGTTTTACTTACTTCTGTGTTATTCCCAAATTGACGTTTAACTTTTTTCATCAATTTGGTGAGTGGTGCATTTGAAATTCCATAGAAACTAAAGGCTTCTTTTTTCAATTCTTTCGTCAAAACACCCCCCCAAAAAAAAGAACGCGTCTGCAGGTTTTAAAATTTCACAGATATTTTACGCGAAAAGATCGTCGATGCCTTGAAGTATAATAATACGCACGTTTCCTGATTTGTTTGGATTTTTTTTCTGTCTTTTTATTTCAATTAAACATCACAACTCGGCCCAGAGATAACTCACGTTCATAAATACACAATGCAGGAAGATACTGAAATTCAAAATAATTGTTGCTCGGTCGGCTGGTCTTAATTGATAGGACGTGAAATAAGAAAACCTATCAGTTAGTATCCGAAGTTATGAACCAGCTGAAATCTGTCTTCAGCCTTTTGCCCCATCGTCAATTAAAAATAGTATCGTTGCCATGCCTAAATATGACCTTTAACGAATATTTATTATAAATAGCCGCTTGTTTAAATGCCGCAAAGAAACGATTATAGAAATTCAAAAGATATCAACTAATGCCGTTATTACCATAATATTTTTCTAAACACCTTTGGTTTGAAATACACTGGAGATCTTTATTAGTATAATTGTTAAATTTTTTAAGGAATTTGAGACAGTAAAGAAGGTATAGTAATCAGAGATTAAAAACGGTTTTTGGTATGAACACGCCAAAGATTTAATCATTTATTTATTTTCAATCCACAGAGAGCCTCCATCGAAAGCCCGAAGTCTTGTGCTTGGTTTGCG